GTGTGCCTGTAGTTCCTGCTATTCCAGGAAGCGCTGAAGGTGGGAAGGATTGATTGCTTGAGCCTTGCGGAGCTGGAAGGTACAGTGGAGCCAGGGAACATCACCACTGCACTCCCAATCTGGGGTGATGGAACAAGACCCTGATCTCAAAAAAAAAAAAAAAAAAACCACAAAAACAAAGGCTAATCCCCTCAATATGTAAAGGCATCCCATGAATTTTAGAAAAGACCAAACAAAGAAAGATACAGAAAATTTGAAATTGTATAGTTACGGAAAGAATATAGAATAGCTTTGAACTATATGTAAAAATATTCTAATCCCACTGCCTTTATTCCATTAATAAATATTTAACTCCCCATATGTGCCTCTTGGAACTGTAGAGATATAGAACTGACCAAAAGAGACAAAAATCTTCTGTTCTTTACAGAACTTAGCAGAGATGCAAAAATAAAGCTATGTTTTAAAAAAAAGGTTGGCGGCGGGAGAAAAAACTATTACCTAACTATTAGACTGGGTAAAAATCTAAAAGTTTGAAAACAATGTTGTACTTGTAAGGACCATGAAAGAGACAGGCAATTACAAATCGAAAGACTAACAGAGTCACTAACTCGTGGAAGGATCAAAAAGGCAGTATCTAATCAAAATTACAGCTACACAGCAGCGGGCTGGAGCAGTTCTCGCGCAGTCCAGGAAACTATTTCCACCACAGAATCAATAAGAACTGAAACATGCAAAATGATACATCTAACAAGGGTCATTATTTTGGCATTGTTTTATAATGCCAGAATGATTGGCACAGCAGTGAACACTCCAACAATCTCCAAACGTGTCCGCTCCACACGGCGGACTGGGCCGGGTGGCCGGTGGCGCGGCCGGCCCCGCATCGCGGCCCTGTAATCCAGCACTTCTGCGGAAAGGCGCGCAAGGCATGGATCACAAGGCCTCAGCGCGGAAGTTCCAAGACCACCTGCAAACATGGTCTGAAACCTGTCTCTACTAAAATACAAAAATTACAGCATGGGGTCCCACGGGCACCTGTAAGTCCCAGCTATTCCAGAGGCTGAGGCAGAGATTTTCTTGAATCGAGAAGGCAAAGAGGTTGCAGTGAACCAGAATCCGTACCACTGGCAACTCCAGCCCTGGGTGACAAAAGCGAGACTCGTGTCTCCCCTTTACTGAATATGCTTGTGATGACTGTCCCCAGATATGTAAGGACCCCCTTTCCCCCTCTCCTCCAGTATGCCTTTCTGGTGACGGCGTCTGTGCAGTTTGCCGGTGGGATCGTTATCTTCTTTGGACTCCTGGTGTCACCAGAAGAAATTGGTGAGGAGAAGCCGTCCCTTCTATTCCGAATGTCTTACTATTATGGCCAAAAGGAAATCTGAGGCCAAAAAATCGAATCTCTTTTTTCCTAGGAAAACTCTGAGCTCCTTTTAGTGAGTGAAAGGAGAACAGTACTGCCGTTTGAGTCCTGTCGACATTGTAGCCAGCCCCTGGCACAGCTGGACGTGTTTGAGGGGAGTGATGCACGTCTTTTGTAGATACAGGAAAATCTTCGCATTTGCAAATGATTTTTATAATTGAGACACTGGCAAGGAATGAACATGGATGTATTTCTAATTTCACTTCTTGAAACATTTCTTTTCATCCATAAAAATGATTCACAAAAATGATACCTGTACTTAAATACAGATCACATACAAGCGAAACCACAGAAGCAAACAGATGTACAATTCTTCTATCTTTTGAGGATTTTTAGACAGACTGTGTGACTTTAATTGACCTTAGTTGACCTTGGTCTCTGGACTTTCGTTGCTGTTTCTGTAAAATGGAAATAAAAATAACATCGCCCCATAAGTAGTGATGTATGCCGAGCCCTTCGCATGTGGTGGTCTCTCCATAAACAGTGGCTGTCGCTGTTGTTTTAGGTCTCTCAGGTATTGAGGCAGAAGAAAACTTTGAAGAAGACTCACACAGGCCATTAATTAATGGTGGTGAAAATGAAGAGGAATATGAGCCGAATTATTCAATCCAAGATGATAGTTCTGTCGCCCAAGTCAAGGCAATAAGCTTCTACCAGGCGTGTTGCCTTCCTGGAGTCATACCGGTAAGAGCCACTCACATCTCACCACTGCCAGGGAGGTGTGAGAGCCCGTGACATCCCCTCTGCCTGGGATAAAGCTTCCCTAAGTATTGAGCCTGTCTTGGATACTTTATTTTAGGAATATATGTTCTGAGGAATGTTGTCTCGTGCCCCTCAGCTTATCTGATCCCTAATGCAGGGGTTGACAAACCTTCCATGAAGAGGCAGACAGTAAATATTTTCGACTTCGGGAAACCATCCAGTCTCCCCACTACTCAGCTCTGTAGAGCAAAATAAGTCACAGAAAACATGGGACAGTTAGGCGTGGCCAGACTTGGCCAAAGAGCCCTGCTTTCCTGACCCTGATCTAGTATGTGACTAAAAAGGCAAAATTGATATTTTTTAATGTCTACTTTTGGGCCTTTCAAAGTATTATAGGATTATATGTGGACCAAGAAGAAGGGCTGTGAATGGTTCCTAAGTCTGCCTTGCCCCTTTTTTTATTTATTTATGTTTTTGAGACAGAGTCCCGCTCTGTCACCCAGGCTGGAGTGCAGTGGTGCAATCTTGGCTCTCTGCAAGCTCCACCTCCCGGGTTCAGGCGATTCTCCTGCCTCAGCCTCCCGAGTAGCTGGGATTGCAGATGCCTGCCACCACACCCAGCTAATTTTTTGTATTTTTAGTAGAGACGGGGTTTCACTGTGTTAGCCAGGATGGTCTCCATCTCCTGACCTCCTTGCCCGCTTTGGCCTCCCAGAGTGCTGGGATTACAGGCGTGAGCCACCGCGCCCAGCTTGCCCACTTTTAAAGGGTCCAGAACAGAGCACTCCACAGTCTTTCTTGGTCATGCATTCCAGTGTTTTCCACAGCCTGTGCAGTCAGGAAAGCCTTCTAACGTCTACACTAAATCCCTTCTGCAGTTTTTCTGTCTTGATGTTTCGGGCGCTCTAGCACTGGAGTGGAAGTTAAGAGGCCTAGGTTATGTTTCCAGCTTACCCACTAACTTTCTGTGACACCTGGGGTAAGTCACGCAACCCATCCGTGTGTCTCAGTTCCCCTTCCCATGGAATAGAAATTATTCCAGTCTTCCCCGGGGCCTGTAACATTGGGCTGTTGTGTTTTGAACAAGCACCTGTTGTTATTTCATTTGTCAACAGTGCTTTATGAATGTGATCCCTCAGGTAGAGTGATCTGCAGGCCATCTTAATACGTGCCTGTCAATCCTCTTCTGTCGGTGCCCCCAAGCTGAGAGAACTCACGTTTCCAACAGAGTTAAGTATGAGTTAAAATCTAATTTTCCACAATCCTTTAACCCAGTGATGATACATGATATAAGAGAAATGCAGGTTGCTTTAGGCCTGTTCTTATGCTATTGATTATTATCTTTTAACTGGTTTTTAAAATATTCTACTGGTAATAGTTTAATTTTTGAGAAAGATCTTTGTTGTGACTAAATATGGACCGCTTTTGCTGTTGCTTTGTTCTTCACAAGCTATTGTTCTCTGACATGGGCAGGGATGTAAAGGAAATCTAGTTAACTTAATTCCTTTGTCTTTGTAGCAGGCTGTCTGGTCAGAATGCACTCGTGATTGGGATTTGGCCCTCTAGGGGGTGGCTGTTGCCTGCCAGGGAAGCTGTTTTAAAACAAGTGATACCTAGGGAATAACTGGCAGCTCCAGGGAAAAGAATATACTAGCCAGACACCCTTTGAAGTCAGCCCCTCTGTTCCCCCCCCCCTTTTTCCTTTGATGCTAAATGTCAGGATTTCCTGGTAGTAATGTGTTGAATATAGGAGGCTCAGCCCCACCACCGTCGTCATGTAGCTGCAGCTTTTTTTCCCCTAAAGGAGAGAGTCACAAGGACGATGATGACATGTTCTTTCATTTTTGACTCGCCAGAGAGACTCTCTTTTTTGCCACCGGACCGGGGAATATGGAGCTTTTGGAAACTAGTGTGAAAGGAATTATCATGCTGCTGCTCTTCTTAGACCTTGGAACTGTAGTGTAGCCCCTTTGCTCTCCATTGTTCATAGTGTTGCCTTGGCAAGGAGTAGAATAACCAAGCCCGTTTGGCTGCTCCCAGTAAAGGCCGTGGTGCTTCCTGGACTTCTTTGCCTGTGGTTAACGCTGGTTAGTGGCATGAATACCATTCATCTTTGTGTGAATAAAGAAATGTGGGCATGTGCCCTGCCTTATAGGCTCCAAACACTGGCTTGCTTCTGCTGGAGAACTGATAGGAGGAGAAACTGGAGACAGCTAAGAAGTAGCCATATGTGTTTTTTATTCCAAAGGCCTGCTGTACATGCCTGTCTAGAAGTTAACAGGGATGAAGAACAGGGGGAGACTGGCTGAAGTCAGGCATGTGGGGGTTTGTAGAGATGTTTAATTGTAAAATCAGGTTCTGTTCATCCTAAATTCCTTGATTTTGTTTTGCTTTTAAATGACATTAAAAATGGTGGTCATGCTGTGCTATTTGTCCCTCACTGAGAGTTGAATGCTTTTCTTGTAGTACTCACTGGCGTACGCCTGCTTGAAGTTAGTGAATTACTCCTTCTTCTTCTGGCTCCCCTTTTATCTGAGTAACAACTTCGGCTGGAAGGAGGCGGAAGCCGACAAGCTGTCCATTTGGTACGACGTTGGAGGGATCGTAGGTATGCCAGTGATGCGCCTTTTCCATAATAAAGTTAGTCACTAGTGATCTTTTACTGGGTTGTGAAATCTGGCCTCATTTAAAGTTTTATTACTTATTCTACAGCCATTTCCCTAAACTGTCCTATTAGTAAACAGCCAAACTCTTAAAAAAAAAAAAAAAAAGGAAAAAACAAGTGGTCCATAGAAAGGAAGACCCAGCCTAAGGCAGCGCTGTGATTTACTGGGCTCTTTTTTCTTAGTCCTTTGTTGATGGATCAGTTCTTTTGTCTTGGGAAGCACATGGAAATCTCTTTAAATGCAATCCTTTCATACGGCTTTCTCATTGATATCTTAGCTCTGAAGCTAATTGTATGTCGGAGATCCAAGTTAGAATGTGAACGTGTTCATTGTATCTACCTCCCGCTTTCCCCACCTCCCCCAGCCTAATAAGGGAGAATACACCAGTCCCCCCCTTATCTGTGGTTTCACTTTTCGAAGTTTCAGTTACTCTTAATACTGTACAATAAGATATTTTCAGAGAGACCATTCACATAACTTATGTTACAGTATATTGTTATTGTTTTCTATTTTTGTTAGTTACTGTTAATTTCTGTGCCCAACTTATAAATTAAACTTGATCATGGGAATGTATGTATAGAAAAAAACATAGTATATATAGAGTTTGCTACTGTCTGTGGTTTCAGGCATCCGCGGGGGTCATGGAACATATCGGCTGAGGATAAAGGGGAACCACACCTTAGTATGTAGGTTGTCAGATCATAGAGGTAGACGTAACAGCAGGGATTAACTTTTGTGAATGTTTTACAGTTGTTTCATTGTAAACAAAGATTTTAATAGTGGTTTTTTTTTGTGGTAGCTGGACGTATCAACAAGGAAGTAATAAGTATGAACAAGGAAATAAGACAGAGGAGCAGAATGTACTTTAGTGGGTATTACTTACATGGCTATGCCAGATCTTAATAACCTTCAATAATGTTAACGTTTAGAATTGTGGTGAGACTCAACTGCCATGAGCTTGTGAAAGCACACAGTCTATGCTAGGCAATCTATTATTACTGTATTTGAACTTGGCTGCCCGCATTCTTAAATCCAGAGCCAAAGGTGAGGTTGCAACTTTTAGACCTCACCGTACTTCTGTATCCTCTGAAGTTGAAATTGTCCAGCTGCCTCCTGTCTGATAAGGACACACCAGATGTCCTGTAGCCCCTAGAACTCAGAATGGTGCTGTATGTGACATTGTTGCTTGAAAGATTCATATCCCTGCTTTTTAAAGATTGTGTCCTATTACCAAACCACAACTGCTAAATTTTATTTTAGTGAATATTTACTAGCCACTATTTTTTTTTTTTTTTTGGAGATGGGGATACTGCTCTGTTGCCCATGCTGGAGTGCAGTGGCATGATCTTGGCTCACTGCAGCCACAACCTCCTGGGCTCAAGCGATCCTCCCACCTCAGCCCCCCGAGTACCTGGGGCTACAGTCACGCACCACCACACCCAGCTATTTTTTTTGTATTTTTTGTAGAGATGGCGTTTCACTGTGTTGCCCAGGCTGGTCTCAAACTCCTGGGCTCAGGCAATTTGCCCACCTCCGTCTCCCAAAGTGCTGGGATTACAGGCGTGAGCCACTGTGTCCACCTACTGGCCTCAATATACTGTAAGACACAATTTTTTATTTTTTGAGACACAGTCTTGCTCTGTTGCCCAGGCTAGAGTGCAGTGGCACAATACAGCTCACTGTAGCCTCAGCCTCCTGGGTTCAGCAGCACGATACGGTTCACCACAGCCTCAACCTCCTGGGCCCAAGCGATCCTCCTACCTCAGCCTCCCAAGTAGCTGGGAATATAGGCACGTGCTACCATGCCCAGCTAATTTATCTTTTACAGAGATAAGGGCACTGTGTTGCCCAGGCTGGTTTGAACCCCTGGCCTCAAGCAGTCCCCTGGCCTTGGTCTCCCAAAGTGCTGGGATATTATAGGTGTTGAGCACCATGCCGAAGAGCTAGTTGCTTTTTTTTTTGTTTTTTTTTTTTTTTTGAGACGGAGTCTCGCTCTGTCGCCCAGGCTGGAGTGCAGTGGCGCGATCTCGGCTCACCTGCAAGCTCCACCTCCCGGGTTCACGCCATTCTCCTGCCTCAGCCCCTGAGTAGCGGGGACTTACAGGCGCCCGCCACCACGCCGCGCTAGTTTTTTGATTTTTAGTAGAGACCGGGGTTTCACAATGTTGCAAGATGTCTCGATCTCCTGAACCTCGGGATCACTCCGCCTCGGCCTCCCAAGTGCTGGATTAACAGCTTGAGCCACCGCGGCCGGCCGAGACATAGTTTTAATTCATTATCTTTTAAATTAAAGGAAGAAATCGAATAGCATTCACAGCTTGGTTTTTTAAGGAATAGCCCCGATGGTTTGCAGTTTTTCTTTTTCAGTGTTTGCTGCTGATTTGTGTGCCTGTCCTCATTGGTGCCATCATGCGATTTAACGACCAGTTTATCTTCCTAAAAGGCAATTATGGGGACCCTTTTCAGGAGTTAAGCCATTTTTTCTTTTTTTTTTTTTTTTGAGCGGAAGTCTCACTCTGGCTCGCCCAGGCTGCGGGTGCAGTGGCAACAATCTCGGCTCACGCAAGCTCTGACCTCCCGGGGTTTCACAACAGCCATTCTCTGACTCAGCCTCCTGAGTAGCTGGGACTACAGGTGCCTGCCACCGTGCCTGGCTAATTTTTTTGTATTTTTAGTAGAGAGGGGGTTTCACCATGTTGGTCAGGATGGTCTGTATCTCCTGACCTCGTGATCTGCCCACCTCGGCCTCCCAAACTGCTGGGATTACAGGCGTGAGCCACCGCGCCCGGCCCAGCCACATTTTTTGATAGACCAGTGTTAGGCTGCTGCCAGTGAGACTAGAGGGCCAATGGGGAGCACACCTCAGGTGAGCGAGCTAAATTAGAAGTGATTTTGATTGCTCGACACTCTGTGCTTGAAGGTGGAACTTTGCAAGGCTTCATCTCTGACGTACTACAGAAGAGAGCGCCGGTTCTTGCCTTGAGCCTACTTCTGGCGGTTGGGTCCCTTGTCGGGTATAGTCGTGAGTATTCCTTTGCAATTACGAATTCCTTTGCTTCCCTAATCTGGTAGGAATAAGGCATTTTGTCTGGAGTCAGTGACCAGTGCTAGGGAGAGCCTGGAGACCAGCTTCAAGGCCTGATATGCCACCTTTGCATTGTCCTGTGAATGCCTGGGAAACCTGTCATCACATCGTTTTATTTGTCTTGGGAGGAAACTGACATCTCTTTTGATTTGTTAATTTGCTTAAAAGCTTGCTTGGGAGTGTATATGCTTTGTTTGTGGGAGGCTCCAGAGGCATGGCATTATAGCCAATAAAACAATAAAAAGGGAACAGGTTTCAAAAGCGGAAAGATGGTAATTAGTAGGTGTGGTATATGTCCCTTAAGATGCTGCTGAGACAGGAGTAGAGCTTTTCTTTAGCTTTTAGAAGTCTCGTTAGCTTGAGCACCAGCAAGAGGCAGACGTTACAAATCAGAGTTGAAAGCGGCAGAGAGAGTTGTGTCTCTTTGTTGTCTCTGGGAGTGATTTGTGGGGTCGCGGAGACTCAGATCTTTGCGTACTGTTGGCAGAGGCACGTGGAGTCCGCTTTTTAAGTCACCGTGGTTTGTCTGTGTCTTCCCTCACAGGTTCTCCAAACGATAAGGCCATCAATGCCCTTCTGATGACTGTTACAGGTGCGGCCCATGGCTCTGCTCCACCGTGCTTCTGCTACTCTGTCAATTCAGAGGAAAAAGGAAACTGTTTTCTCCCTCAATTTGAGTAGTACCGAAACCTTAATTACAGAGAATTCAGATTTTAGAAGGAAAGATGTCTCTTTTTCCAGATTCTTTTTCTCTGCTCTTTCTTACATCACCTCCTCAGTCCTATTGTGACAGAAGCAGTCCCTATTGACAGAAATTTTCTTAAGATTTTTTTTTTTTTTTGAAATGGAGTCTCGCTCTGTCACCCAGGCTGGAGTGCAGTGGCGCGATCTTGGCTCACTGCAAGCTCTGCCTCGCAGGTTCATGCCATTCTCTTGCCTCAGCCTGCCGAGTAGCTGGGACCACAGGTGCCCGCCACCACGCCTGGCTAATTTTTTGTATTTTTAGTAGAGATGGGGTTTCACTGTGTTAGCCAGGATGGTCTCGATCTCCTGACCTCGTGATCTGCCTGCCTCGGCCTCCCAAAGTGCTGGGATTACAGGTGTGAGCCACTGCATCTGGCAGATTTTCTAAGATTTTTGATTACTGTCCCAGCTTCTGCTTTTATTTCTAGAAGTGACTTAGAAAGATGCCACATGGGAGACCAATTCACAAGCTTTCAAAAAAATCCACAATAGCTTGTGTCTCCTCCTGTGTTGGAGTCGGTCAGCATTTTGTCACTTGAGCACTAGATAGAATAGTTGGGTGCATTTAGGGACTATGTTATAGAAAAATTACTTATTTTATTTATTATTTATTTATTGAGACAGAATCTTGCTTTGTTTCCCAGGTGGAGTGTAGTGGCACAGTCTCAGCTCACTGCAACCTCCACCTCCTGGGTTCAAGCGATTCTTCTGCCTCAGCCCCCTGAGTAGCTGGTAATATAGGCATGCACCACCCTGCCCAGCTAATTTTTGTATTTTTAGTAGAGACAGTGTTTCACCATGTTGCCCAGGCTGGTCTCAAACTCCTGACCTCAGGTGATCCACCCGCCTTAGCCTCCCAAAATGCTGGGATTACAGGCATGAGCCACCGGCCCCAGCCAGAACAATTACTTATTTTAAACTTATTTTATTTTTATTTTTGAGAAGGAGTCTTGCTCTTGTCACCCAGACGGGAATGCAGTGGTGCGATCTCAGCTCACTGCAACCTCTACCTCCTGGATTCAAGTGATTCTTCTGCCTCAGCCTCCCGAGTAGCTGGGATTACAGGCGCCCGCCACCACGCCCAGCTAATTTTTGTATTTTTAGTAGAGACAGTGTTTCACCATGTTGCCCAGGCTGGTCTTGAACTCCTGACTTCGGGTTATCTGTCCACCTCAGCCCCTCAAAGTGCTGAGATTACAGGCATGAGCTACTGCGCCCAGCCAGAAAAGTTACTTATTTTAAACTTTAGATCGTGCTTGGCAGAGTGAGCTGCTCATTCTGCTTGGGGTACATGGAACTGATACCAGCAGTGAGAACAGAATCACCTGGGCCATCCCATGCCTGATTCATGGGCAGCCTCACTGAGAGCAGTGGCAGGTGGCGTCACCTGCTCCATTTCAGTGGCTTTTTCCTCTTTGCTCTTTTTTTCAGTATTCCTGGTTGAATTTGTGTAGTAGAAAGATCATATGATGCAACTCTACCATAATAGAATTTATTTGACAAGCTAGTGCAGTTGATATTAATGAATGTAAACTTCACAGGATTAGACAGGCTATGTGTTTCACTATATTTTTGTATCTTTGGGTTCTACAGAATATACTAGAGTGTCACATAATTCAAGAAGAGATTTCAGGAACGTGGATGTTAACTATTAATAGTTTGAAAATGATACTATCTGGGGGTTTCCTTTTTTTTTTCCACGTCTGTCCAACATATTAAGAAAACTATTGGGATATTATTTTGCCTTATGCAGTAGATTGCTAGTGGTTGTGAATTGTGTTTTAATAAGAACCTGTTCTGTTTGTGACTTCAGGATTTTTTATTGGTGGACCTTCTAATATGATTAGTTCTGCTATTTCCGCGGACTTGGGTCGCCAGGAGCTCATTCAAGGGAGCAGTGAGGCCTTGGCCACTGTCACAGGAATTGTTGATGGTTCGGGGAGCATTGGAGCTGCCGTGGGCCAGGTGAGAGAACAGGAGAGGGGCTGGGATTCTAATGTCTTCCCTCAAAGGCGCTTGTGCTATAGAACGCTGTTCCGAGAGCCCAAGGACTTCCGTCTCCTCCCAGGACCAGCTGATGCCTCCTAATGTGGAAGAACTCTCCATTTTTTTTAGTTCCTTTTTTCTACTTATACTTCTAGATTCTTCCTGTCTGCAAATAAGCTAAGACCTCATAAGACAGACAGATCCTTCTGCCCCAGCCCACCACCTCCTTCTTTCTTTCCAGGCTGAACTTGGTGTTCCATGGCCAGGGGCGCTTCTTGTTATCGCCACCTGGCATGTGGACCCCACCATTGCTGTCTCCTGTCTCCCTCTCCCAGACACTCTACTGCATACATGTTCCTTCCTGGGCCCCACCAGACATGGCCATGGACTCTGCAGCTGCTTCTGAATCACTTGCTCTACTTCCTGTGTGTCCAAAAATCTCTGACTGTATCTCAAAGAGTGGCCCATAAGTGTCTGGTATCAGAATCATCTGGGGCACTCTAATTAAAGTACAGAACACCAAGCGTACTACAGGCTCGCTGAGTTAGAACCTACATCAACAAGCCGCCTCGGTGATTCTTCCGCACTCGGATGTTTGAGATCCCTACACTAAGATTGGCCTACTATACTTAGAACTATTTACGTTGACCTTTTTTTTTTTTTTGGCATAAATTCAGGCTTTCTCTGGGACAGATATTTCTTTTCTGGCACAGTAATGAGTCATGCCTCTTCTAGGATATACCACTACAGATTGTAGAGTACTAATTTTGCTAAAAGATGGATTTGAGAGTCATCTGTATGGATAAAAATAGTTGAACCTGTGGAAGTGAATGAACCATTTAATGGGGAAAGAGAATGTTGGCCGAGCCTCAGGGAATGCCCAGTGGTCAAAGAAAGAGGAAGGCAGCAGAGTAACCTATAGTCAAGGGAACTGCGTTTGAGAAAGCGTTAGTAAGGTCATGGATGTAGAGAGGTCAGTAGAAGGAGAACTGAAGGATTTGTCTCTTAGGCTCTTAGTTTTGACATCTAGGAGGTCATTAATAGCCTTGACGATTATTGTTACTTGCTTGGTGGGGGTGAATTGCTGATGTCTGATGGCTAGTGGTTAATGAGAGACAAGTATTGAGGTAAAGTAAGCCATGTTAATACTTTGACTACCTAGCCGTATTTTAATAGTCTATATGCGCTTGTTAATGTCTGTCCCTGCCACTGTAACATAAGCTTCCTGAATGTGGCATTTTGTTGTATGTTCTTCTGTCACCTTAGTACTGAGAACAGTGACTGGCACACGGTAGACATTACTTGTGGAATGAACGATTGATATGCTTAGCATATTTGATTATAAGACTAAAGGGCAAAAAACCCCAAAGAAACAAAAACCTTAGCAAAGACTTGAAAAATGTGCTTACCTGATCATGCTCTGGAGTGGGAATTGAAAAATGCTCCCAGCCGTCAGTTCAGATATTTTCGTCTTTGGGGTAGAGAGTGACTGCATTGGGCATCCTTTTCTGACATTATATTATTTTAAGTTATCCTTCATTTCGAATGTTTTCTTCACTAACTAAATGGGTGGATTATAATGAGTATTTCAGAGAGTTTGCTTTTATTTAGATTGCCTCACCTGCCAGTATCCAGATCCCTCACTGTGAACTTGGGTCCTAGACTGACCTTCATGGTCGGGGAAGCATATCTGGAGTAAGTCACTGTTAGCTTTACTCATTTCTCTTCCATGTTGAGTTTTGAATGATTTCCCATTGCCTAAGGGGTGAAATCCCAAACTCTGTGACTTAGCGTTAAACTCTATCAGTCCTGTCCTTAGCCAGTGTACTAATTTACCCTGAATAACTTTGTTGCCCCCATCTTTCCCTGACTTCCCAAGTAAAGAATTGTTGCTCCTTCAGGTTGCCATAGCAGTTGATGCGGTCCTCTAGTAGGCACCTGTCACGGTGTAAAGGGGATACACTGTGACAGGTGCTGTGCTTGTTTCCTTCGTCTTTGCATACCCAATGCTTAGTGCTTTTTTTGACACATACTAGGGGTTCAGTAAAATTAAATTGCAGTATCTGCCCAAAAGAAATGAGAATGAATGTCCACGTTAAAACTTATACATGAGGCTGGGTGTGGTGGCTCATGCCGGTAATCCTAGCACTTTGGGAGGCCAAGGCAGGAGGATTGCTTGAGGCCAGGAGTTCAAGACCAGCCCAAGCAACATAGTGAGACCCTCATCTCTACAAAAAAAAAAAAAAGTGAGCTGGGCATGGTGGTATGTGCCTGTCCCAACTACTTAAGACGCTGAGATGGGAGGATTGCTTGAGCCTGGGAAGTCAAGGCTGCAGTGAGCCATGATCACACCACTCCACTCCAGCCTGGGTGACAGAGCCAGACCCTGTCTCTCTCTCTCTTTTTTTTTTTTTTTTTTGGAGACAGGGTCTGACTCTGTCGCCCAGGCTGGAGTGCAGTGGCAGGATCTTGGCTCACTGCAACTTCGCCTTCTGGGACTCAAGCGATTGTCCCACCTCAGCCTCCCAAGTAGACTGGACTGCAGGTACGCACCACCACGCCCAGCTAATTTTTGTATTTTTTTTTGTAGAGATGGAGTTTCACCACGTTGCCCAGACTGGTCTCAAACTCCTGAACTGAAGTGATCCTCCTGCCTCGGCCTCTCAAAGTGCTAGGATTACAGGCATGAGCCACCTTGCCAGGCCAAGACCCTGTCTTTAAAAAAAAAAAAAAAAAAAAGATAAAGTTGCAGTCAGAGTTTGGAGCACCCTGTGCTTCCTTTAGTGGATGATTAGACCTCTTTTTTGCTTCACATGATGTGATCTAATATAAATCACATAGTCATTCTGCATTAATTTTTTTCACATGTACATTTCAGTAATAATGTGATCAAAGAATATTATCCTTTTGTGCCTGTGGCCAAACTGATTTTTGACAAGGGTGCCAGGACCATTCAATGGAGAAAGGATGGTCTCTCAATAAACAGTATTGGGAAAACTGGATATCCACATGAAAAGAATGAAGTTGGAGCTGAGGAGTGGGGGAGGAAAGAAAAAAAAAAAGAATGAGGTTGGACTCTTACCTTACCTCATATGCAGAAAGTACCTCAAAATGAATTAAAGGCCTAACTTTAAGAACTTAAAATTGTAAAACTCATAGAAGAAAACATAGGGACAAATCTTCATGACAAATATGTACAAATGACCAATAAGCACATGAAGAGTCTCAACATCCTTAGTCATTAGGAAATTGCAAATCAAAAACACAGTGAGTTGTGACTTCATACTTTCTATGATGGCTGTAATTAAAAACCAGGAAAGGTGACTGGTGTTGGCGAGGCTGTGCAGAAATTGAAGGCCTGCATTGCTGGTGGGACTGCAAAATGATGCAGCTTCTGTGAAAAATACTTTGGTGCTTCTTCAAAAAAATTTAAGTAAAATTACCATATGACCCAGCAATTCCACTCCTAGGTATTTCCCAAAAGATTGAAAACTGGGGGCCGGGCACCATGGCTCACGCCTGTAATCGCAGCACTTTGGGAGACCGAGGTGGGCGGATCACTTGAGGTCAGGAGTTCGAGACCAGCCTGGCCAACATGGTGAAACCCCGTCTCTACTAAAAATACAAAAATTAGCTGGATGTGGTGGCAGGTGCCTGTAATCCCAGCTACTTGGGAGGCTAAAGCAGGAGAATTGCTTGAACCTGAGAGGTGGAGGTTGCAGTGAGCCAGGATTGCACCACCGCATTCCAGCCTGGGTGACAGAGGAAGACTCTGTCTCAAACAAAAAAGAAAAAAAAGAAAACTGAGACTCAGATATTTGTATGTCAACATTTATTGCAGCAGCATTCATAGTAGCCAAAAGGTAGAAATAACTCCGGTCCATCAGCAGATGAATGGAGAAACAAAATGTGGTATATCCATACAATGGAATACTAATGAGCCATTAAAAAGAAATGAAGGGAGGTTACAGTGAGCTGTGATCATACTATTACACTACAGCCTGGGCAACAGAGAAAGACCCTGCCCCTTTTAATCCCAGCACTCTGGGAGGCCGAGGCAGGTGGATCACCTGAGATTAGGAGTTCAAGACCAGCCTGGCCAACATGGTGAAACCTCGTCTCTACTAAAAATACAAAAATTAGCCGGGCATGGTGGCACCTCAGCTACTTGGGAGGCTGAGGCAGGGCAATCCCTTGAACCTGTAAGGAGGAGGTTACAGTGAGCTGAGATCGCACCACTGTACTTCAGCCTGGGTGACAGAGCAAAACTCCATTTCAAAAAAAAAAGGAGGGGGGGGCAGGTGCAGTGGCTCACGCTTGTAATCCCAGCACTTTGGGAGGCTGAGGTGGGTGAATCACCTGAGGTCAGGAGTTCCAGACCAGCCTGGGCAACGTGGTAAAACCTCATCTCTACTAAAAATACAAAAATTAGCCGAGTATGCTGACTCACGCCTGTAATCCCAGCTACTTGGGAGGCTGAGGCAGGAGAATTGCTGGAACTTGGGAGACGGAGGTTGCAGTGAGCAGAGATTGCCCGCTGCACTCCAGCGTAGGCGACAGAGTGAGACCCCATCTCCAAAAAAAAAGGAGTGAAGTTCCAATGTAGTCTACCCTGAAAGCATTATGCTAAACATTCCAGACGTAAAAGGACAAATATTGTGATTCCATTTACATGAAATATCTAGCATAGGCCAATTCATGGAACCAGAAAGAAGAGGTCAGCAGGAGCTGGGGAGATGGGCAGTTAATTTCTTATTAGGAACAGAGTTTCTATTTGGATGATGAAAAGGTTTAGAAATAGATAGTGGTGATGGTTGTACAACATTATGAATGTAACTGATACCACTGGATTGCACACTTAAAAATGTTTAAAATGGGCCAGGCGTGGTGACTTATGCCTGTAATCGCAGCACTTTGGGAGCCCAAGGTGGGTGGATCACGAGGTCAGGAGATCGAGACCATCCTTGGCTAACACCTGTCTCTACTAAAAATACAGAAAATTAGCTGGGCGTGGTGGCAGGCGCCTGTAGTCCCAGCTACTTGGGAGGCTGAGGCAGGAGAACGGCGTGAACCCGGGAGGCAGACCTTGCAGTGAGCCAAAATCATGCCACTGCACTCCAGCCTGGGCAACAGAGGGAGACTCCATCTCAAAAAAAAAAAAAAAAAAGAAAAAAGAAGAAAAGATTAAAATGGCAAATTTTATGTAAGTTATATCTTACCATAATAAGAGAAAAAAAGAAAATGGGTTAAATAAGTGCAATTAGATCCTTTTCAGTAATTGAAAAAGTAAATGGATATGCTGTAGGATGCAAAGGTAGTACAGCAACACTGTGAGCAGACAGCATGATTGGAAAATGAGTGGCATACTTAAAGACAAACTCTTTTTGAGGCATCAATTATAGTACCTTTCATTGGAAGAAAGAATGATTAAGTGGGTGTAGCTTGTGGATGTTCATCTTCCTCTCTAAATAGCAAAGTGAATAAAATAAACCTTCTGGGCCGGGTGCGGTGGCTCACGCCTGTAATCCCAGCACTTTGGGAGGCTGAGGCGGGCGGGTCACAAGGTCAGGAGATCGAGACCATCCTGGCTAACACAGTGAAACAGCGTCTCTACTAAAAATACAAAAAGTTAGCCGGCTGTGGTGGCAGGTGCCTGTAGTCCCAGCTACGCGGGAGACTGAGGCAGGAGAATGGCGTGAACCCGGGAGGCGGAGCTTGCAGTGAGCCGAGATTGCGCCAGTGCCCTCCAGCCTGGACGACAGAGCAAGACTCCGTCCCAAAAAATAACCAATAAATAAATAAATAAATAAACTGACAACTTCTACTATATGGTTTTTCCATTTAGACTCTGCATGCTTAAATGGGCCATTAATCACAGCAGGCACATGTATGTGGAAGAGCTCTGTAAACTGCAAAACATACAAATCCTGTGTCCCCTTCTTATTTTCTAAAATAGCCATGTTTAATCTACTTTTTAGCTGCTTCCTTTTATAAACTTATAAAGAACTATATTGTAATTTTTTTTTCTCCCTTTTAGTATTTAGTGTCTCTGATCCGGGACAAGCTAGGATGGATGTGGGTTTTCTACTTTTTCATTCTCATGGTAAGTAGGTGCTCCTTTAAAAAAAAAAAGTCATTTTTCTATTAATTAAGTTCAAAGCATTTACTTAAGTCACTTCTTCAGCAGAATTGTTGATTGCTTTTAAAGGCGCCTTTGTGAAAAGTAACGTTTTATTAGTCTAAAAGACACCTCCTTCTTCTTCTTCTCCTTCTCCTCCTCCTTCTCCTCCTTCTCCTTCTCCTCCTTCTCCTCCTTCTCCTTCTTCTCCTTCTCCTCTCCTTTTCCATCCTTCCTCCTCCTCCTCCTCCTCCTCCTCCCCTCTCCTCCTCTCTTCTTCTTCTTCTTCTTCTTCTTCTTCTTCTTCCTTCTTCTTCCTTCTTCTTCCTTCCTTTTTCTCTCTTCTTCTTTCTCTTCTTTCTTCTTCTCTTCTTTTTTTTTTTGAGGCAGTCTCGCTCTGTTGCCCAGGCTAAAGTGTGGTGGCATGATCTCGGCTCACTGCAGCCTCTGCCTCCCGGGTCAAGCAATTCTCCCACCTCAGCCTCCCGAATAGCTGGGATTACAGGCACCTGCCACCACGCCCGGCTAATTTTTGTATTTTTAATAGAGACGGTGTTTCACCATATTGGCCAGGCTGGTCTTGAACTTCTGACGACCTCAGAGGATCCACCCGACTCGGCCTCCCAAAGTGCTGGGATTACAGGCATGAGCCACTGCGCCTGACCTCACATTCTTCTTTTTAAGGAAGAAAAAGGCTCTCAGTTTGCTCTTGACCTGAGTCTAATGTATATTGCCATTTATGACTTCAGAAAAACAAGAAGAGACTTATTTAAAGTATCACCAGCCCCTAATCAGTATACTCTTCTAGGCTACTCTCTATCTGCTGAATATAATTTAGGAATTCTGAAGTAAATTACAATGTACACCAAGCAACACTGAGTTAAAAGAGAAGCATTGCTGTAATTAACACTGTCATGTTTCCCGGTTCTAAAATGGTGATAGTTTCTTGAGGAAATATTTATGATGCCCTAGACAATCTTGGCTGGGATTCTCTGCTTTCTTGGAAATAGCCAATAAAGAATAAGTCGTTGTTTATTTTTTTAACTTATTTTTTTGAGACAGGGTCTCATTCTGTCACCCAGGCTGGAGTGCAGTGGCACGATCACAGCTCACTACAGCCTTGACCTCCTGGGCTCAGGTGATCCCGGGCTCAGGTGGTCCTCCCACTTCAGCCTCCTGATTAGCTGGGACTGTAGGTGTGTGCCACCACGCCTTGGTAACTTTTTGAATTTTTCCTAGAGGGGGTTTCACCATGTTGCCCAGGCTGGTCTCAAACTCCTGAGGCTTTGTGCTTTTAAAATGTTGCTCTCTGTTATGAGCTGTGACATACTGAGGCACATTATTGGTGGGACAGTGCTCAAGACAGGTCTACCCGAGAGTGCGGAAGGCACCAGGGACGCATTCAGTATCCTGTCCTCAAATCCAGGGCACTGGGACTGAAGGCAGCCTCCACCACCCCTACTCCAGGCAGCTGGCCTCTTGCTGTGGTCAAGGATTCCCGGGATAGTCCAGCTCCAGGAATACCTTGGAGCTTTCATCTAATTCCCATCTAGCTTCCAAAGACTGGGCCATATAACTTGTGTTCCATTTCTGACATCCGTGCTAAGTAGAGGGAAGTATCTTGTGATGAACTTTCTGATGTGATCATACTAGGAATTGTAGTAGAAAGAAGACTTTGTTATAAGGATCATCGTTTTAATCTGAGCCTCTGAGAGGGTCTCAGTTCTCTGCTCTGCCTGTGGCAAATTATGTGTATGTGGTGTTCTTTTTTTTGGCAACTGAAATGTGATGTTAAGTATTTTGTAGTATTAGCCATACTTTTCAAAATCATTTTCTAATTCATTGACGATTAAACGTTACCTTTGTATGAAGTCAAAATGAATGTAATTGTACAAATCCATTGTTATGTTCAAAACATGACGCTCTAACAGAAGTAACTTGTTGTTGCATTTTTAATCCTATTTTCTCTTCACAGACAAGTTGTACAATTGTGTTTATCTCGCCATTAATAGTGAGGGAAATATTCTCTCTCATGCGAAGGAGACAGGCTCATATACTGAGGGAGTGACTGGTGCCTGCGAGACAGAAAGAACAACGTCAGCCACATCAGGACCGTTGGGGCTTCGAATCTGCCCTAATTTGGGTTTGTCTAGGAGCACCAGCCTGACCTTGGATTGTCAGGGTCTCTCAACACCGCCAGCCACCTGAGATGCTGACCAGCGGTGAAGGCTGAGCGAGTTTTCTACACTACAGGAATTATTGTTGATGATTTTTGTTGTTTCATGAACGTGCCGAGTGACCTCTGACTCTGCCAGCATCTTTGTGTGGCCTGTTGAGGTTTTAGCATTTTAACCTTAACTGTTGTTTTGGACTTGAACTTTCTCTAGCCTCAAAAATGGAGTGAATAGGAGGCAAAGCCACGCGTGGTTTGTGTTGGTGATGTGTTCCACAAATGGAAGAGATCATTGCATTTTGCTTTGGTAATGAGTTTATAGAGAGTGGCTCATCTTTGAAGCATCAAATCCCGATCAAATGCTCAAGCTGGACCGAGCTGCCAGCCTGCCTTGGACAAAGAATCCCTCTGTTCCCTGTGGTGGGAAAGATCACACTACATGCCTGTTGAATGGCTCAGTCACTCTGTGTCTGATCCAAAAGTCATTCAGCCCTAGAAGCATGAATATCTTCAAATTATTGTCAACTGTTCTCCATCTTCATTCAAATTAACTTTGGCTCCTGGAAGTATTTAGTCTTCCTTTCAAGGACCATAAGGTACATCAGTTATCTCGAACATTCCGACGTGTAACTCGCAGCCGAAGCAACTCCACCCCAGATCTGTTGTCTGGGAACTTTAGGATCCTCTAGGAAGCTAATCTGCTTAGTCTATTTTTAGAGGATTGATCTCTGGCACAACTGGGTTCCTGGAGTTACCTCAGCTGAGGACTAGAATTAGAGAAAAGGGAAAGACCTTTTGTTCTAGTAAGTGTCAAGTACGGATGCTCTTTGACTTACAGTGGGGTTACGTCCTAGGAAACCCATTGGAAGTCAAATGCATCTAATACCCCTGACCTACCGAACGCCACAGCTTAGCCTCGCCCACCCTAAATGTACTCAGAACACTTAGAATTGCCCACAGTTGGGTAGAATCATCTAACACAAACTCTGTTTTATAATCACGTGTTGAATAGATCATGTAATTTATTGAATACTGTACATTATGTCGAAATTGCAACCGTTTCGCACCATTGTAAAGTCCAAAAATCAGAAGCTGAGGACTGACTGTACGTGACATTGAATCACATGAGTGGATTACTAGGGCCTGAGGGGTGTCCGTTCTTTAGAAAAATGTAGAGTATATATCTTCAGGGCTGTGAATTCCATACTAGTTATCAATATTTTAAGATCATTCTGTATATGTATATATTTTAAATTATACAAGCAAGCTAGGAGGAGAATGTGCAATTTTGAAGGACACCTAATTTGCATTGGGTTAGGGAATATTTTTCAACCTCTTGCTTTATACTCTGATATGGGTTGTGTTTATGAACTTGTTAATATTATTTAATCATGCAGATTTCCAATCATTGTATTGCTCATTTACTGACAAAAAGGGAAAATACGAAACACAGAAAGGGGAAATAAACTGACTTTTATAATGAACCTCCGTTTCGGTATTTAAATGTATATACCATGAGTGCTGAGATTTAGAATGTGATCAGTGCCCTAATGTTTCCTGATACTGAGCGTTCCCGGGTGAGCCCACGCTAACCCACAGCATTGCTGGGTCACCTGCTCCTTCACCCGAGGTGCTGGGGTGGCTTTATTTCCATCTGTTCTGTGAAAACTTGCCCTTTCCTACTGTGGAAGACTGTGCTCCGTTTGGATGAATTGCCCGGTTGTAAGTTAAGGGCCGTCTGTTTTCTCATCGAACCTCTTGACTGGCGTTTGGTTCAGTTTCCTTTCCAGCTGCACTGTGGGTGTGGTCTCATTTTCGTGTCCCCACGCCAGCCAGTGTTTTCTTACCCAGTTGAACCTTAGATTGGTGACTGTTTCCCTGACTTTTCTGTGGCCCCCGGGCTGTATTGAAATAAAACCATTTTTTGATTTTTTTTGAGACAAGAGTCTCGCTCTGTCACCCAGGCTGGAGTGCAGTGGCACGATCATGGCTCACTGCAGCCTCGACCTTCTGGAGTCAAAAGTGATCCTCCTGCCTCAGCTCCCAAGGAGCTGGGACTAGCCTCCCAAGTAGCTGACTGTGCGCCACCATGCCCGGCTAATTATTTTTAGTCTTTTTATTTTCTGTAGAGATGAAGTCTCACTGTTTCCTGGCTGGTCTCGAACTCCTGGGCTGAAGCGATCCTCCCACCTTGGCCTCCCCAAGTGCTGGGATACATCACGGCAGTGAGCACTGGCTCTCGCCTAAAATGAAATTAAATAAAATGCTCCAGCACTGGACAACATGAATAAGGATTATATTCCCTTATTCTAGTTTCTGCCAATCCTGCACAGGATTTTAACTTTTTTTTTTTTTTTTTTTTCGAGATGGAGTCCCTCACTCCTGTTGCAGGCTGAGTGCACTGGTGCAATTCTCGGCTACTACAACTCCCTCTCCAGGTCTCAATGTGATTCTCTCCTGCCTAGCGCCTCCAAGTAGCTGGAGCTACAGGGCCGCACGCCACCCATGCCCGGCTATTTTTGTATCTTTAGTTGGAATGGGCGTTTCGCCATGTTGGTGCAGGCTGGTCTCTAAACTCTCCAAGGTGATCCAGCGCCTGCCCTTGGCCTCCCCAAGATTGCTGCGATTACAGTTGCCGTGGCCACTGCGCCCAGCCAGGATTTAACTTTAATGAACATCTAAGAGTTTGCTTTATTTTCTTAATATCTTCTCCCTCGAAAAGGGACGAGAAAGCCATAGTGAAAGCTAGTTTGAAAATGCATCCTTTCCTCACAGCCAGATCGCCAATGCTCACTAGGTTGAAATTAGATGCTGCGGTCTGCCTTTTCTTTTCAGAAGCTGTTTTTTTTTCTTACAGTTTCAAAGGAGGAAATGTCTCTCGCTACTCTTGCTATTCCGTCCTTTCCTGGTTCCGAGGAACCAGAGTGCCACAGTCAGCATGCCTGCAGCAGTATTGGAGGAGCTGCTGTGCCTCATGATGTTCTATGGGATGGAGAATGTACAATGCTGTCAGCCCTTTGCGCCCCTTTCCTTTTCCCTTTTTCCCTCCCGCTGCTCTTTTTTTTTTTCTTTTTTGAGACAGGGTCTTGCTCTGTCACCCAGGCTGGAGCGCAGTGGCCCACTCCGAGTAGCTAGGGCTACAGGTGCTCACCACCACACTCAGCTAATTTTAAAAAATTTTTTTTGTAGAGAAGGGATTTCGCTGTGTTTCCCAAGCTGGTGTCTTACACCTGGGCTCAAGTGATCTGCCCACCTTGGCCTCCCAAAGTGCCTGGATTACTGGCATGAGCCACCGCACCCAACCCCCTTCTTCAAAACCTCCGGAAGTCCTCCTGCCTCCCAAATCAATACATGGTAAAGCCTTTTCTTTTCCCTACTGACTTTTCTGACTAATGCCCTAGTTTTCTTTTTGCAGCTAAACTATTTGAGTTAATAGACAGTATCTGCTGCCTTCCCGTCTGTGCTACTCATTTCCTCCTCAACTAGGTAGCTGCCTATCTATTGGCCCAGGACGGTCCTGGTTTATGCCTGTCATTCACCGTAATTATCAATGGTACTTCCTTTCGCTCTCTGAGTGTCCTAGTTTGGACCCCGTATCTCTAGCCTCTGGCCTCTCATCACCCTACAGCATTGAGGGTCACTGAATTTTGAGATTTTTTTGCCCGCTCATCCCGTATTTGTGCTTGACACCTGTAACCACTTCGTCTTTCCCAGGACTTTTTCTTCTTTGGCTTCTCTGGCATTTTAATTTATCGAATCTTCTTACTGACTATCCCTTTTCCTGGGTTCTCTCCTCTGTTCCCCCTGTGCTGGTTTCCCTGATGAGCTACTTTTGTAATCTACCAGTAACCCCGTCAAGTACTTATTGAACAAGAAGCCACTAAAGAGAGGAATGGCATCTGTTTGTTAATGACTATCTGGTGCATAGTTAAGAACAGCCGGTCTCAGGGGAGGGGACTGGACTCGACTTATATAATCCCAACCCCTTCTCCCCTCCCCACACAGACCACTCTGCCAGTTTGCTGCATTAATCATTTTCAGCTCTTTAGGTCATAAACCCTTTTGAGAAACTGAAAGCCACTTAATGTCTCCCAGATTGAAATGCTTATATGAAAAAATATTCGCAATTTTCTTATTGGGTGAGCATGGGCCAAAACTTGAAGCTCATCGTTGGACCACAAAGTTCGAAACCTTGGTCAAGAGAATCAAGTACCTGGGATTGAGATTCTGCAGAGTTCAGTTTCACTCACTTTCTGTACTGACCCTCCCATTGCCTGTCTACACGAACCTTCTGCAGCGTCAGACCAGCTAGCTCGTTTACTCACTGCAAAGGGAAGTTGTGCATTCATATTCATACCTTCTTGTCTTGATTGACACCTCTCTTTAATACCGCTTTTTTGCTCCCAGCTTCGTGAATCTTAATTTTCCCTCAAGGCTTGGCCAAGCACCATCTCATCTGAGGAACCTTTCCCAACCAGCCATGCTAGCCCTTCCTTCTCTACCGTCTCTCCTTCCCTTGGTGGTAATGTCAGTGTTGCTTATTTGGTGCTTAGCTGTTTCTGTCTTCCCTATTTTTGTATCTAACTCCCCAAGGAGACGGCTGCTGTTTTTCTGCAGTGCCCAGCTCCTTGCATGGTTGGTGCAGAATAAATGTGGAGTGTGTTGGGAAGGGTGGGAGGAAGATTTGAGAGTGGAGTGTGGGCAGAGCAGGCCAGGGCAAAGTTCCTCCCTGACCCTGCATACTGCCCCGCCACCTGCTTTACACAGGACGCTGCACGCCTGCAATTAATGGCCGCAGACTGTCGGCGCTGCCCAGGTTCTCGGACTACGTGGCTTTTGAGTGCAGTCTCCTCTCCTCTGGCTCTTGGCAGCCTCGCCAGCTCTCCCTGAGGGCTCAGCGGCAGCGAACAGTGAGCTCTTTTGCTCCAATACAAATCTCCATGTTATTCAAGCTGCTGTCTTTATTCCTGCTGTGTGTTTTTACTTGGCCTGTCCCTTCCAAGCATTCAAACTCTCTTCATCCCTCATAGTCCCCTTCGTTGCCCACCTCCATGAAGCTTTTCCTGATAACCCTACTAGTAATGCTATTTTCCTTCTGGAAACCTCTCTTGAAAGCCCTTATCCTTAGACCACACAGTCTGCCCCAGGCTGATTGGTTTTATTGCCTTATTTTGTTCTCCATTGTTTCTGGCTAAGTTGTCATTTCCTCAATTAAATTGTGAGGGTCACAGGAGTCAGCACCCGGCCCAGGACACAGCAGCCATTTCATCACCACTGGCTAATGTTCCTTCCTACCTTGCTGCTTCTGTGCCTTTAGAGTCAATGTCATCTCCTTGTGCTTTTCCTTAGGCCATTTCTGGTGACATAAAGTTTGTTTCAGCTTATGTCTAGAATAAATCAAATTAAATGTGAAATACCGGCTGGGCATGATGGCTCATGCCTGTAAACCCAGCACTTTGGGAGTACGAGGCGGGTGGGTCACTTGAGGTTAGGAGTTCAAAACCAGCCTGGCCAATGTGATGAAACCCTGTTTCTACTAAAAATACAAAAATTTAGCTTGGTGTGGTGGTTGGCGCCTGTAATCCCAGCTACACAAGAGGCTGAGGCAGGAGAATCACTTCAACTCAGGAGGCGGAGGCTGCAGTGAGCTGAGATTACACCACTGCACTCCAGCCTGGGCAAAAGAGCAAGACTCCATCTCAAAAAAAAAAAAAAAAGTGAAATACTGATATTTACATATACATGATCATAGATAATACAAATCACTTCAGTGGTTTTATATTTGTGTGTGTGTGTGTGTGTGTGTGTGTGTTATATGCAACGTAACAGTGATTTGTTACTATATGGCTTTTTGGAAGTAAGAACATATGCATGTTGCATAGTGAATCAAATAATACTCGAAAAGTTCTGTACCTGGACACCCAAGGTGTGGTCTTTCAGCCATTAGTGAAATAATGCTTCATAGGTGGATGCATCTTTAAAAACTGCTGTTCCATTCACCACTCTGTTTTCTCCCCTACACAGTCTGAGGTCCGCAGATGGTTCTGTAGTTTACATGTGAGAACCAAGATTCAGAGAGGGTAAGTGGCTTGCTGGGAGTCAAATCATCTAAATAACAGAACTAGGACTAAATTAAAACCCAGTTTTTAAAATTTAACTTCAGTGGCTTTTTTTTCTGCCATGCAGCCTCTCCTTAAATTGACTCTTCCCCTAGACTTACTTCCAAGGTGTAAATTGGGTGGCCAGTTCTCATCTTTCTCTAGGGCCAGGGTCCCAAGGGTGAGCAGAATTGTCAGACCTGCACCTTTGTGTGGAAACCACCTGCGCCCCGTTCCTGCTGTTGGGCTGTGGCCCCACAGTGATGCCCAGGCCACCCTCGCTGACTGGCCTTGCCCTGGGGTCTTAACCTCTCTTTAGGGGGTCTTCTGTACTAGATTTGCCTTTTTATTTATTTATATTTTAAGATGGAGTTTTGTTGCCCAGG